TTATTATTGTTATTATTATTGTTATTATTATTATTATCATTATTATCATTATTATTACTCATAACATATTCCGATTTTGCCATGGCCTGATTTTTCACATTCCGTAATTGAAGTTCCACAAATTGTAAATCAGCAAAAATTTGCGCATCACGCTGTCGCATATAGGCCTGAAATGTAATGAATGAACAAAACTTTGGCAAAAAAAAAGAAAGAAATGAATTAAAAGAGTAAAAAATGAAAATAAAATATCGAGATACCAAAATACCCGAATAACTAAATTTTAACCAAAATATTCAATATACTTTCTTGAGTAGTATTTTTTTCTCTTCTTTTTTTTCAAAGAAATATTTTATTATTGCTGCGAAATTTATTTAGCAGTGCCAGATAGTATAGTTAAATTGAAAATTACTGTGCAATAATTTTTAATGTAATAACTGAAATGTTTTTTCAGTTATTAAATGATTTAAGCTAAATTAAATTAATCATTTACCATTTCACGCTTAAGATGATTGAATACATCGTTCCAGGATCGAAAATCACCAGAAAATGTTTTTTGAGAGTCACTGGAGCTTATTGACCTTGACAAACCCGAATCATTCATTGCATCATCAACAACAATCATTGATTTCATTATTGATGGTGCGGAATCAGAACCTTGACTGGTAAAGATGCAGGAATTTGTTGTATCTGAAATTTTTTATCTTTTAATTTAAAATCTTCTTTTTTTTAAATTATCACAAATTTGATTTCCTAATAAGTTTTCAATTCATCACAAATTAGATTTTTAATTAAAGATATTACAAAGAAGAGCAAAAAAAAAGAGCAAAATATGAATGGATTAGAAGTTATGGAAGAATTTATGTACGATTAAAGATTACATGCATTTATGCTTTAGAAAAATCTTTTCTTTCAATTTGCATTTCATTCACTGTTAAAAATTGTAAAACATTTAATAAATGATAATTAAATGATAATAAAAAAGCAAATTGTTTTTTTTTTGCCTATTTGACAGTTTTAATATTCACAATTATAATACATTTGATATTTCTATTTTTTTCAATCAAATTTTTTCCTGATTTCTTTTTTAAATTTAAAATTTGACTTAAATTTTAGTAATTTCCAATTGTTTGTGCAAAAAAAAAAATTCTTTTTTACTTTTCTCCATTTCATTCAGCTCAAATGCTTTTTTTTTTAAATTTAAAAAAAGAAAACTGTTACCCTGATTAGCAATATTATTTGCATCATACTGATCCGGTAACTCATCATCCGGTAATTCCAAGGAATAGCTCGCATCAAGAAATGATTGCTCTGATGATAATGATGTTGTTGGAATTTCGCTTTGCTCTGTTACACTTGAAACTAATACTTTTGAATGTAACCGACTGGGTAATGTTGCTGTATCATATATCCTGAAAAATGCAATCAGTCTTAATTGAATCATTTCTACTAAATAATCCAAATTACATTATATATTTAATTTCATTATATAGTATTATATTAGAATATTTAATTTTATTTACGCAATTCTGTCAATATTTCAGTGAAAAATTTGTAATAAATGAAAAATTCAGCATAATCAATAATTGTCAATTGCCATTTTTCTCATTTTTTTTCCAACTGTTCTAAATAACTTGAAATATTAAAAAAAAAAAGAAAAAAAAGACAAATATATCAAACAGTTCAAAAATCTTTTAAATTATGCTTAAACTAACTTTTTGAGAAATTTTTTTGTTGCTTTAAATGGATTAAATAATCCACCACCACTGCTATTACCATTGCTACCATTACCGCTAATGCCATCTGAATAATTGCTATATCGAGTTGATGACATATTGCTAAGATTTTGTTTACACGGTGATAAACAAAGTGAGAAATGATTATCGTTGCCAACACTACGAGATCTGCAAAATTATCATAGCATTTTACAATGTAAACTTTAATGATATGATTATTGGTGATATATGTAAGTAAAGAAGTTATCAGAAAGCAAAAGAGAATGGAAAATTAATGATAAATAATTTTGTTATGATCTTTAATTCAAAAATATAATGGAAAAGATGTATGAAAAGAAAGGAAGAGAGAGAGAGAGAGAGAGAGAGAAGAAAATGATTTGTTTTATGAATGTAATACATTCGTTTGTTAATATCTAAACTTTAATTTTAACATTCTTAATTTTGTTTGAATAACAAAAATGAACTTAACATATGTGTATATAATTGTTACTAAATTTTTGAATGAAAATATACTTAATTTAACGGTTTCAGTTTGAAAATGAGAATGGAACAAAAATGAAAATGAGGCTGCTGATCGTTGAACTTCACATAAATTTTAATTATGGACTATCTTTGATGGATTGATATCCAACGTTTCTCTATATTTATTATTATTATTATTATTAATAATTGTTGCAATTTCAATAAGTTCATCTTACTTCAAATCTCTCATTGATCTCAAAAATACATCATTTAGGTTATCAATAAATTTAATGGTATAATACATTAAATTTTTTTCATATACACGCTTTGTGTGTAAAATATTTGCAAGTTTATGATGATTAATAAATTCGAAAAATGACAGTAATTAAATAAGATAAAATAGAAACTATGAATATTAAAACATATTTCTTTAATTAATAAACTTTGAAAGAATAAAATAATAATTAAATGAAATAAAAATAGAAGTATTAAAACATATTCATACCTTTGATGTACCCTTTGTATGCTCGTTACAATTCTATCTTTTTTTCGGCGACTCAATGAACCATATGATCGATTCAGGACTTGATCATCATATTCAATTAATTTTTTTCTGTTTCGATTGATTACATCTAAAATTACATTGCATTGATATCTGAAATGTTTTTTTCAGTTCTTTTTTTTTCATATTTAGCGATTCAATTAAGAATTCTTCAAGATTAACTTAAATATTGCAAATAATTTATTAACACATTTAAAATTGTCATAATTATTTATCAAAAATTATTAATCTTTTCCAGGATATTTTTGACATTGCTGCAATCACTTAAAAATTGCTCTTTTTTCAAATTACATAATTAAATACTCCTACAATTTGAAAATTATCAAAGAGAAAAAAACAAATGAGCTACTAAAAAAAATTGGTATAGTAACAGCGAAAAGGGCTAAATTCATCGATGACCTAATACACTAATTCTTTTTTTTTTTAATTTTCTGAAAAATACTAGCTTTTAATTAATAAAAAATAGCAGGAATTTATGAAAAATCAAAGAGATGTTGGTTAAATCACTCAATAATTATAAATATTAAATATTGCCACCACGAAAAATTTCGAATATTAACAATTTAATTACTTATTTCATAGAATTCAAAAAAAGAAATTAAATTGTTAAAAAAAAGAGACTACGGTTGAAATTGATAAAAGAAATAGAAATGATAATTTTTGAAATTCGATCAATTCATATAGCGATTATTATTTTTGTTAGATAAAAAAAAAAGTGAAACTTCAGACCAAAGATTTTTGACATTAACGATTTTAAAAACTAAACTTTGAATGCTCATTTCAATCAAGAAATAAATTTGTTGTCTATCATATTGAAAAATTAGTCATATGTATCATAAAACTTTATAAAAATACTGAAATGTTAAATTAATCATTTTAAAAAGCAACAGATTAAAGATATATGACTGTTCGATAATTGAATGCACGTTTTTTTTGAGAATTTTAATAGGTCACTTAAAATCAGAATTAATGTATAAATTGATCAATGTTCAATCAATGGACAATGTAATAATTCAAATCGTTCAGATTTTAAAATACTATTTCAATAGTTTAAAATTTTTCTCTGAACGACTTTTGTATTTTAAAAATTTACACATTATAAAAGTCAAAGATTTATAGGACAATCACTTCGATAGCAAAAAAATAACAATTTAATGAAAAAAAAAAATTTTTTTGATATCTGTTGTTCAGTGATAGGATGTAAAGGCTGTTCTGAAAGTTCGTCAACTGTAAATAGGCCTGTAATGTTATAATATCTAAAACAAATAACCGCAATAATTTGTTTTTCATTTCTTTGGAAAAAATTTAAGTAACAAATAGGCGATAATTAAAAATTTTATTGATTAT